GTCCAAACATTGTAAGACACTTTTACAGGAGCGAAAAAGGACTTCGCAAAGGCATTGAAATGTATTGAGTCGGCTTCAATACATTCCAATATAGGAAACATTGTTTCACTCAACGATGTTTCCTATGGGGATTTTCACTGAACGATGGCAATCCGTTCCAATTGGAACGGATTAACCGGTTTTCAATGCATTCCTATGTGAAATGGTGTTTCACAGAACGATGTTTCACACAACGTTGATTTTTTTGGAACCAATTAACATCGTTGTGTGAGGCACCACTGTATACTCATGCATAGACAACACATGAAAAATCTGCTTCTGGAATTTGGGGCCCCAAAAGAAAGATGGGGGAATATTGTGCAGAGCTGGTGACAAATCTCACTTCCCTTACATGAATATAGGAAAAACCTAGTTTCAAAATTGATATATTTTGTATATAAAATCAGATTTTCAATAATTCTGTGGTCCAATGACTGTTTTTTAAAACGTACTTTTCTGAGAATTTTTAATCCATACATCAACATTAAAGAATCACCTCCTACAGGATTAGTTGGGAAAGGGGAGTATATATGGGGATTCTCTCTCACCATAAAGTATATATATAGCCTCCACAGCAATGGGCAATGAGCCCCATTTTCAGTCTCAATTGCATGTTCAAATAAAGCTTTGATCCGATTTGTTAACCCAGTTTCAGGGATTGTTGCATATATATCTCCAGTAACTCCCCTGAAATGAAGGAAAAGCAGAACAAAATTACCAGAGAATCAACAATGTATGGTTATTTTTTTTTTTGCTAGTTTTTCATTAAAAAGTCAAAGAGAAAAGGTGGTATCGGCTAATCCTTCACTGCTGAAACAATGGAGTCATCACAATTCCAAAGCCTGTACTGACAGTCAAAATGGATTAATGCTGACGGGGGGGTTGGAAATTGTAGTCCAAACAGCAACATTTCCAAGATCTGTGATTACAAAAATTACCCAAATGCTGAGTTTTGATTATGAAAAGCAATTTCAGCAGACATATTTTACCGTAATGCCAAAAGCTTTCAAAATCACAATTAGCTTGTCTGGCAACTTGGCAACTATATCCCTTCCTATGGATGGCTGACTTGACTACAGTGATCTAAGCCTTAATTAGCTCTCAAGTAGACTACTGCAATGTGCTCTACAGGGGGCTGCCCTTGGCAACTATTCAGAAACTATACCTAATGCAAAATGCAATGGACAGACTGTTATCTGGCATGCACTTTCAGGGACCAGACATCACCAAACCTAATCATATTGCACTGGCTTCCAATTTATATCTCAGCTCAACATAAAAGTACTGTTTTAAAGCCCAAATGGTTTTTTAAAAGTCTGTTTTCAATAGTTTTTTAAACTCTGTTTTCATAATGTAATTTCACTGTACAGTACATCACTGAGGGCCCTAAGAGTCAGAAAAGCAATATCCAAAATAAATAATAACAAAACACTTGAGTCAGAACCAGACAATCTCCTTTATGCTGCATAATATGGGTAGGGAAGCTGGTGTCATCCAGATGTTGTACACTAAAACCCCAATAGCCCCTCACTCTTGGTGCTGCTGACTTGGGACTCATGCAGCCCAAAACATTAAGAAGCCTCCAAGCTGCCTACCCTCCAGTGTGCATATTTATTTCTGAGCAGAAAAATAAATGGAAATGGCTATTAGGGTTACATTAGGAAACACACAGTATGATTTAGTGGCTTCAATGCTGAATTGTGATATGGAAAATACATAGCTAAACCTCCATTAGATCATGGAGCTCATGATACATTTTTGCCCGAAGTCAGATCCCATACGTCTGGAAAGCGGGACAAGATTTAAAAAAAACTTATGTAAGTAACTTTTGTGAAAGGACGTGAAAGTGGCTTGTGCAAATTCCACAGGTTTACAAGAGCAGTGGACAAAGTGTAGCCCTCCAGATCTTGCTGAATGGCCACTGTTTTCATCACTGTTGGCTCCTCCAGTTAGGGCTGTCCACAGCCACAGCACAACAACAGTTGCAGGGCTGCATTTTGCCTATTGCTAGGTAATTACCATCACCAAAGAACATCACTTGTAGGAGTGATACTACCTCTGGACATTTTCAACCAGTTTCTTCCTTATCTGCTCCGCTTGGATGGCAAACAGCCAGGGCTCCAGCGACTTTGTTGTTCGTGTGACACCATCAAAAAAACGCCGTGCTTTGCTAGCATTGTGAGACTTGCTCTGGATCTGGATGTATGTCCTCCAGAGGGACTGGTTGCTAGGATACCTCTTCAAAGCCTCCAACAAAGCTTCGCGAAGGGGATTCAAAGGATAGACGCTCTTTTTCATGTGATACTGGAGCAAACTTGCATGCATCAGTGTGATAGATTCAAGAATCGTGGCAACATTCCGGTCGCCTAGCTTTTCACCAAGTTCCTTGCCTCTAAGTTTCTCACAAACGTTCCTGTATATGGATAGTGCAGAATCAATCCCAAGGGTTAAATACTGGAAAAGGATGTAACAGCCAGTAAAACCAACCAGGTGGGTGGAACTGCCAATATGGTCTTGATTAGAGCAGGAGCTCTCATTTAAGTAATCTTGGAGCAAATGTTCGTACGTCTTCCGTGCTTTCAAAATGTTCACGGATAATACTTGTCCACTGTAAGGCACGTAAGGCCCCCTCTCAGCCAGACTAGTCAGTATGTGAGTAGCACGAGACTCAAGAGTTCCTGTTGGACTCCCTTGTAATTCTGTTTCCAGTTCGGCATAAAGCAGGCCAAGGTGGCAGAACTGGGGACTTTTGATCCCAGCTGCTCCTGCTGCACTGAGAGATGTATCAAAAACTTTTCTTGCATCATCTATGTTGCCAAGTACCCATTCCAGGTAGGCATAAAGTTGCCAAAGAGAAACATCATTTCGATTGTCAGGAGCTTTAAGAAGATTCTTGGCTAATTTTTTACTTTTCTTTCCTTGCAGTTTTAGTCGCTTTTTGTTTCCCATTTTCAAACATCGAACAACCTGCAGGATAACATAATAAATTAAATTTAATATAATACAACCCTAGAATAGAAATGGATAATGGCAGATAGTCTGAGGATACTTTCCACCGCCCCTAATCCTTTCTTGTCACCTCCAATTTACAGAAAATGAGGAGGAGGGCTGGCAAAATATGTGAGTGGATGGATTCTTGTTTTACAGAAAAATCTCTCCCCCTTTAGGCACTCATAAGCAGATTCCTGCATTTTTGGCAAACAAAAATAATAGCCAGTATCTGTGGCTTCAGTTATTGTCCCACCTCCTTATACAAGGTTCGCTACTATCCACAGTTTCACATGTCATTTTGCATTTTTGTGGCCTTTAGCCTGTAAGCCATTGCATCAGAGACCTGTCAAGAATTCCATACACATAAATGCTTAAAACAGAGACAGGTATTGTATTTATCTTTGCTGTTTCTGCCTGAGGTCAGCAATTCTTGCTTTTTAAAAAAATAATATGCAAACTGCCAGACACTTCCTGCTGGAGAACAAGCGACAAATGCTGGTAGGGAGGAGAGGCCATGAAAGCCTAAGGCCATGCAGGGCAATTTAGGCAGCACCCCCTGTTCCTTCTTGCCCTCTCTTTTTCCCCCTAGAAGAAAGGCAACTGATCTCTTATGTAGGTCATGGTCCCCCTTGTACTATTTATCACCTCAAAATATTAGTTTTTCAAAGCTGGAAATCAATTTCCAGTCAATTCTGGCTTCGTTTTGTTTTATATTTATTGCAATTTTGGCTTCTGCAGAAGCCCCAGTTGCTCCCAAGAGAGCAACTTTTCCCTGGACGCAATGAAATTGTTCACCCTTGTTTGAGACAGACAAACCAATTGATACACTTAAGAGTATATGAGCCTAAGAATTTTCCTGTCATTGTATTAGCTATTCGATTCAATTTCACAGAATAACTGAGTTTGAAGGAGCCTATAAGGCCATCGAGTCCAATCCCCCTGCTCAATGCAGGAATCCAAGTCAAAGCAGATCTGACAGATGGCTGTCTGATTTTCTCTTGAATGCCTCCAGTGTTGGAGCATTCACCACCTCCCAGAGTAATTGGTTCCATGGTCATACTGCTCTAACAGTTAAGAAGTTTTTCTTGATATTCAACCTAAATCTGCTTTCCTCTAACACATTCGTTGTGTGTCCTGAACTCTGGGATGAACGAGAACAGATGCTGTCCTTCCTCTGTATTTGAAAAGTGCTATCATAGTCTTCTTTTCTCAAGACTAAACATAGCCAGTTCTTTCAGTTTTTCCTCACAGGGCTTGGTTTCCAGTCCCCCGATCATCCTAGTTGCTCTCCTCTGAACTTGCTCCAATTTATTGGCATTAGACTCACCATTTTGGCGAGTCGTCCTGCTTCATGATCTGTTAAAGATGATGAATCATGAAGCACAAAGCTTCCCCCCATGAACCGACGAAACATGAATTTATTCGTCAATTCATGGAGGGTTAGACAGAAAAAAAAAACATGTCTAACTGGCATCCTTCCTAAAGTGCAGTGTCTAGAACTTACATGTAAGTGAAAACCTGACAGATTGTTTTAGCAATTCCCTCACAAATGCCCATGAACCGACGAAACATGAATGTATTCGTCAGTTCATGGAGGGTTAGACAGAATGTCTAATTGGCATCCTTCTAAAGTCTAGAACTTACATGTAAGTGAAAACCTGACAGATTGTTTTAGCAATTCCCTCACAAATGGACATTCATATGCTATTTAGAATATGCAATCATCCACACACCAATCCCTACTCATTTTCCCATTCAAATAAGCATACAGCCAATTCATACACAACTTGAATAACTGTCATCACGACCATACCTATGTGCCGTTCTATGAATGTGGCAGTGAGCAAGAGCAAAGCCTTATTTTTCCGAATATGTCTCCATCCAAAATAGCAAAGATGGTTCTATCCATTTAACTTTTCCATAAGAGGTTTGTCATCATGACCATACCTATGTGCCGTTCTATGAATGTGGCAGGGAGCAAGAGCAAAGCCTTATTTTTTCAGAATATGTCTCCAGCCAAAATAGCAAAGATGGTTCTCTCCATTTAACTTTTCCATAAGAGGGGAGAAGGCTCTACAATCAAAAAAACTATAACAGACCCCGTGTCTCCAGGTTGGGGAAAAAACTGTGTTTTACCGCTGCAAAGGCTCACATAGATCAATGTGAGACCTCTGACTAGCCAGGTCATCTAGTAACCTATGTACTAGGGAGAGGGGATAGAAAGAGATGCACAGGTACGGCATATTTACACGTAAGTTTGCTATTTATAGGAGACTAAGAAGACAACAAGGTTCTTACCTTAGAAATTTCATACTGAAGCCAAAAAACAGAGAGGTCAGATTTTTCTTTTCCTGAAAATAGGGGCAGCATCACATGGAATAAATTCTGGATGAATTCTTCCCCTTCCTTTGGGTGGCCCACCTGCTTTCCTCCTTGAATCACAGAGTCCATGCAACCTATAGGACTGATTCCAGAGACTGGCAAATCAAAAGAGGTCAGAGGCCCTTGACTGTGTTGCCTGTTGTCAAAAATGTTGTTCTCATCCATTGCTAGGTAGACGAAAGATGGGAGGAGCTGGCACACACATGGTACTCCCAAGAACTGTAAGAATGAACAGAGCAGCTGGAACTGAAGGTCTGAGTTGGAAATTTTTATTAATGATGGGCCAAGATCGTCAAACACAACCTGCAAAAGATTAAAATGCAGTTAACACCTAAATGGGAGGAACTTTGGAGGTGGGGGAATGGCTGAAATCCTGTTGTGCAGCTCCACGCATACAATGGTGACGATGTCAGCAGCAGCAAACTGCTGTTAATTAAAGGCTTCCTTTGGTGATTTCTAGGTGCACGTACATTTGTTGCATTGTGTACCAAGTTGTGTGCACCCTAAAATGGCCTTCGATCAGTGGCAAACCATTACTGTCATCCCCTTTGGGTCTGTTCAACTGTGCAACAGGATTTCAACCAAGGTCTCCAACCAAGAGTCAGAGGCTGGAAAGTTCCATTCAAGAAGAATAAAAATACTGTAATGGCATGCTGAAGCAATGCACACCTTAGCAACGGAAGCTATTTTTTTCAAAATGACACAAGACTACAAAATTTCAGTTTAGGTTACAATTGGTGGGAGGGATGAATAGTAGTAACAGCGTTGAGAGTAATAATGTAACGACAGCAACAAGAACAACATGCCATCGCTATTTCTGCTCCTAGTTCATCAGTATAGTTGTGATTTTTCACACTACAGGGTCACTGGGTCAAGGTGCACGCAATCCAATATTCAAAGCAGAGGAAACAAGCCTGAAAGGGCAGTGAAGCAGAGGAAATGGAAAGCAAAGAAGCAAGATAGTTGAAGCACACTCAGACTGGGTTAACACTAGGGCAAAGGTAAAGTTTCTTAAAGCCTTTTCGGTGTTTTAAATCTGTTTTTTGTAACCTCACATTTTTAATATAATGTTATCAATTCTTCTTTAATATTTGACTAACTAACTGTTATTGCTTTTTAATATTGTGTTTTTAATTATGTAAGCTGCCCTGGGTCCTTTTTTAAAAGAAAGGAAAGGTACAAATATTTTAAATAAATAAATACAATAAAATTTGGATCCTTGGGACAGATGTGGGAGGAGCTTTTAATATTGGGAAACCACTTCTGGATTGCCACCATCAAGATGGCTGCCAGCCATCCAGTGGTGACTGTTCAATATTAAAGTCTCCCCCTGTTCCGAGACCCTCAAAGACTTCCCTAAGTCAAAAAGGATCCCTAGTGTGCCTCAGAACCCAAAGGAAAAGGAATAGGAAACTTTAAATTAAATTAAATCAAATAGTAATATTGTAGGCTGATGACACTATCAAAAGTTACAGTCAGTCAAATAAATGTCAGGCATATCTTATTTTAACCATAGAAGCTGGTCCACATGCACAGTTCCCATGAAAATAATTGACTAGATAAGTTTCAAATTTGTTCACACCACAAAGTTGAGGGAAGCAAGTGCCAAGTATTCTTATAATGCCTCTGCATGTCTTAAGATAAAGGTGCGTTTACCAGAACATTATATAAGTAATCTTGGAAGCAGCAGGCCTTAGTTTTATTGTCCTACCAACCTGTCTCTCTGGATCTTCACAATCATCTAATGTCTGTTTCTTAGTTTTGTCTGGCCGCCAGGGCACCCAATGCCTTTCTTCACGTGAGCGCTCAATATGAAGCCAATGTTGCCACTTGGGTAAAGATCTATCCTTTAAATCTTCTTCTTTGTCTTCTAGGTCTTCCTCATCTCCATCTATGCAAAAGACAAGGCAAAGCAACAGTTTCAAAATCCAATCTATTCTAAAAAGTTGAGCTGAACTTATGAATAATATTAAAAATCTGCTCTCCATGAAAAAGTTTTGTGGAATAAATTCATATTTTGATGTGAGACAGAAGTGGACAAAGGACACACATGTTCATACAAGACCCAACCCCAACATGCCAAGCTTTGTCTGCTGATGGAGATATCTCCTGTTTAGGCAGGCATGAGTAGATGCCCAATTCAAACATTAATGCTCACCAGGAAAAGGATGAAGATTGAAGAATGGAGATAGTGGAAGCACAGCATGCAAAAAAAAACAGTATTTCCTCCCAAGCTTTCAGCCCTGAGGTAACAGGCAGAATTCATGCACAGGACAACATTCATTACAAAAAATATCAAGTCCCATTAGCTTTCATCAACAGAGCTAATAGTTTGGGGTGATGGAGGTGGAGTCTAACTAATTGGAATGCTACAAGTTATTCATACATTTTAGATTGGCTTTATCAATTACCAGAGGAATAGTTGGGCTAAGTCTGTAGTAAAACTAGAGGAATTATTGTAGCACCTTAAAGGCTAACACATTTATTACAGCACACAGATACATCTGATGAAATGGACTATAGTCCACATAAATTTCATGCCTTAATTAATTTGGTCATCTTTAAAATACTACTTTCTCTAAACCAGAGGTAGGCATAACCTTGGTACTCTATAGATATTTTGGATTCCCACTCCTACTAATCTAAGCCAACCCACTCAGCTGTCAGGGATTATGGGAACTGTAGTCAAAAACATCTGGAGAGCACAACCTTGCCCACCCACGTCCAGAGATAAAAGCTTTTAGACAACAGCTAATATTTAACTCAACACTGGCTGAAATCCTGTCCATGTAAGTTCCATGGCATAAGGCTGATGATATCATCAGCTGGGTCTTTTTGGGGGGAATTTTTTTTCTTCCAGCCCAGAAGCCCCTGTGATCCCACTGTTGAGATCTTGCACACATGTGGGTGCTGCAAGACAGCAGAAGGAAGTCTTTAATTACAGGAAATTGCCACAGCTGCTGTAGTCATCTCTGTACTGGCAATTTTCAGGAACTAAAGATTTCTCCCCTCCCATCCCATGGCCCTCGTGGGTTCCCGATAATGAAAAAAATTACTTAGGACTGTGGCAGCCTTGGGACAAGAGGCAAAAATGTTTTAACTTCTTTTAAAAAAATCACCCTGGCTGATGGCATCAGTCTTATGCCATGCAACTCAACATGAAGAACCACTGTTTTAGAAACCCCTCCCATCCCATGGCCCTCGTGGGTTCCCGATAATGAAAAAAATTACTCAGGACCGTTGCAGCCTTGGGACAAGAGGCAAACATGTTTTAACTTCTTTTAAAAAATAACCCTGGCTGATGGCATCAGTCTTATGCCACACAACTCAACATGAAGAATCACTGTTTTAGAAACTAAATGGCTGACTAGAAACTTTAGAGGTCAGACCAGGGCAGAGACACAAATTATCTAACTAGCCTATAACAATTTAAAACAATACGGTTTTAAGTTGCTTCACACGTCACAAAGAAGTGACACAAACACTGTGATATGTCCACCACTCAGAACTTAGTATTCATAGTCATCATGCCATTTACCTGAATGGCATGTAACAACAGGGAAATTATCTTATTCCAGAACGGATTTCAGCATGGTGCTCAAAGAAGAATAAATTGCTTATCCCGATCCAAGACACATCCCCTGTTCACAGTGTAGTGTTCCACAAGACCCCAATCCCTCATCCGCAATCAAGATCTAAGTGCCAAAACCTTAGGTGGAGTAAGCTTCAATAAAAAATATCAGGCATGTATAAAAACAGCACTCGAGTCACACAAATTTCAAAATAGCTTCCATACACTTAATCATGTTGAGACATTTTAATCTGCCACTTTTGCTTTCACTATTTCTATTTTATCCGCCCTTCACCTGGATTTGCCTCTTTTTTCCCCACTCAGCCTATAGTCTACTGAAAAGCTTCCTTTTATTTGCAATAGAAGAGAAATAATGAACGTTGCAAACTGAGTATTCTCTATTCTGCAGATAGCGAAGAGCCATCCTGATCAGGGGTGACAAACTACAGTATTTACATTACATTAGGCATCCTTCAGTCTTGAGAGACTATGGTAACCTGTTCTGTATGGAGGATTTGGAATAGCGTCTAGTGTGGCTGAGGAGGCCAATTCGAGAGTGACAATCCCTTCCACACTGAAGATAAATCCAATCTGTTCCCTGTCCAGCTCCCTGATTTTGCTGCTTTCGTGATTTCCAATTGGGGGAATGTATTGCCCACCCTTACGCCCAATGGCGTTGCACCAGTATGATGCCTGAAACTGCTGCTGTTGTTAAGAGGGAGTTCAGAGGGAAAACATCAACTCTCTATGATTCAGGAGGATGCCAGAATGGAGTCCCACACCATTTAACCCTTACTGGGCCTAGTCTTCCTTCCTTCTGGAAGGGAGGAGGAGGAGGAGAAAGTCAGTAGTTTAGTAACAATGCCAAATTTCACATTGCACTTCTTTTCGTGCTGGATGGAAGTGCCATCAAACTGTGGGTATGCATGGTCACAAAAAGGGTAGGCAGGTTCACAGAAAGGTGAGTTGCCCACACTTGCTATGAATGAACCAATCTTGGATAAGCAACAGAGAAAAAAACAGGACCAACATAAAGACTATGACCAGAGGTAGGCAAGAGGTGGGGAAAAGAGGGAACTGTTAGGTTGTCCGGTATCCAGCACCACTTGAATAGTGACCTTCTTTGCTTCCCTTTCCTGCTATAGGCCTCTGTTGTACCATAATTCCTGTTCCAGTGGATTTCTAAGTTCGCCAGAGCAGGTCTTTTGGGGTGCCTGGGGGGCTGAAGTGTGGGAGATGTACACATTCTGACGGGAGAGGCAAGATGTTGCAGAAGTGCATCACTGGATTCAGGCCCTCCTCGAAAAGGAGACTTTAAAGGGGTATTTAAGTTTACGTAATTATATTACACCAGAAATCTTAACAAAATGAAATGAGAAAACCTCATCTATGATTTCACTCCTTTTAGTCTTCACAAGTTCACTTCCAAATCAAACCCATGATTTTGGATGAATGTTTAATTACTAACATTTATGTATTATTCATACTTCTACTTCACTGCCCTCCACATATACCTAAGCTATGACACAGCACATGGCTCTCCTCATCACTACTGAATCCTAAAAACATCCCTATGAGGAAGTTCAAATTTAAAAGAGAAGGACTTGTTCACTGAGTTTCTCAGTTTTGTGAGGACTTAAACTGGATCTCCTGGAGCAGTTGAAACCTGCCACTTCTGGGCAATCCGTAACCCTTCAACTTTTTACCCTGTAGTCTTCTAGCTTAAGAAAGACTACCACTATGATGCTAACTTTATACTGAAGCAATACTGATGCAAAATGCAAACACAGGTCACCTACTTTTATTCAAAAATATACTGAACTAAGTTGCCCATTTCTACTGGTGAAATCCCAATTCTCAATTTATTTTAATATGTTCCTCTTACTGAGCATGACTTATGCACACACCTGATCCCCCACAACCTGTGAAATCCAAAATTAAAGAGATTTACCAGGTGGGTTAAGAACAACCCAGCCGCCCTTTTCTTGCTGGTGCATCCAGACCTTCCAACCCTTGGCCCCTTTTTCTCCAATCCGAGGCTCACCACTGTCCCAAAATGGTTCAAAGAACTCCACCTGTAGTTGGGGATGAAGATGTCATACCAAAGATTCAAATGCAATGTTATAGGCAGGGAAGATGTTGGAGATGCATTTCAAATAAGCCTGCAGTATTTCTTTATTTATGCTCTGTAAAGACAAAAACTACATTGTTGTAGACTAATACATTTCATTTGGCATATACAGTGGTGCCTCGCATAACGAGCACACCGTTTAACGATGAATCCACATAGCGATGCGGATTTTACGATTGCTAATGCGATCGCATACCGATGTTTTATCGCATTGCGATGGGGGAACAGCTGTTCGGCGGTTCCAAAATGGCCACCGGAACACCCAAAATGGCCGCTGGAACACCCAAAATGGCCACCGGAACATGGGAAACATCACAGAACGGTGAGTTTTTGGCCCATTTGGAACTTTTCTATTCCGTTTAGCGATGTTTCCCCATAGCGAAGCTTAATCCGGAATGGATTAACCTCACTATGCGGGGCACCACTGTACTTTCACAGATGACATCTGACGAAATGGGCTGCAGACCACAACAGCATGCACCAAATAAAACATATTAGTCCTTAAAATGCCACAAGATTCTTCACTGATTTGCTGCAAAAGACACAAACCAACATGGCTTCTCTCTGTAAATTTTTGAAGTGTTTCCCTGGTTTTGCAGATTAATCCTTGAAAGAAATGACTAAAGAATGCCTGGCCAAGGTAGGGCAAAAATGGTCCCCCTGATCTTCAAAAGCTGTCAATCCCTCATTTAGCTTTTCATCCAAACCAGCCAAATAAGATGCATAAGGTGAGATACAAACTGATAATGTCTCTAGCCTTCATCACCATTAACAAACTTTCATTTGAAAATGTCATTACAGCATTGTTTGCTTTTAATGAAGAGAACTTATGACTGGATTTAATTTAACCTTGGAGAAAACAATGATGTGTGTAATAGATTATCTGTAAAAACACTTAGGCTTATAGCAGCACATATACAGGAAGTATATTCTTCAGTTTTTCAGTCTTATGCACATTAGATTATATTCAAACTACTCCTTAAAAAGAAAAACAAACAACAAAATAGGGAAAGATGAATATAAAGACACACATCCCCATGACATTTCCTTTTTCGGTCCCCATTTCATTGCTCTAACAGAGATGAAAAAATACTTACCACTGATATATTTTAAATTTAGCCTTCATGGAATTCAACCTATAAATAACAAAGCAGTCCTAATATGCACAAAAGTTTATTCTCCAAGCTGAATTCAATTATTATGCTATTCACTGCTAAAGCAAAGTCTCTCCTCTCGATGTTTATGACGTGCAGATTACAACTCCATGCCAGATACAGCAGCCCCTTATAGGCTTACCAAACTGTACAAATACTTCCCGAGCCACAGGCATCTAATGCTTGTTGCAAAATAAAGGTCTTTACATGCAAATGGTTACCCTGGCATAGCAGATGCTGAACTGACTTCACCCTTCAACCTATTTACATATTTAATGGACAAATCAGAAACTGAATCCAGCTGGAATAGAGTCATCTCTGGCAGCTGGAAATGACCGTGACCTGCAAATGACCCATACAGTCAAATGACAAAGGGGTTGGGGCTGAAACGGCCAGCAATTTCTCCTTCACAGAGACAGGAGTACATCTTCTGAGTTAAGTCAGTGAAGCAGCCAGACGAGCAGTAGCTCACAGCAGAAAACCACCACTTGCAATGTTCACCCTGTATCTGGCATACTGTGAATGCCATGAACTCACTAGACAGCTGTAGGCAAGCTGCTCTCTCTCAGATTCAACACTCCAGTCTGTGAAATGGGAGAATAACAACATTAGCTGACTTTATAGTAGGGGTGGGTATGACAAACTCACTAGCCCCATGTGTGGGGGGGGGACAGGAAAAGCACCCTGTGTAGTAAGTAGCACAGGCAGATCTATGGACAGGGCTCCCTGTATACTACTGAAAGGTGGCAGCTGAGGGAGGTTTTGGGATATCACAGTGGCCAACATGTGCCCCCTAAATACATCTCTCCACTCACCCCTGGATCCCCCAATTACCTCATACGGCAGTTTAAAAAAAATTTGGACTAAAAATTGCCTTCAGTTCCCTGGGAAGCAATTTCACCATGTATACGTGAGTAGTGATTCCCAGTGTGGTGTAGTGGATAGAGTGACACATGAGGATTCTGGAGAATAAGGTTCAAATCTCCACTTGGCCATGGAAATTCACTTGGGGAGTGGAACTGGTAAAGCCACTCCTTAAATATCTTACTTATTTTGAAAATCCTGTTAAGGTCACTATTAGTCAGTTCCCACTTGACAACAAAGAACACACACATACCTCCTAGTGAAGCTCTAATTAGCACAGGATGGGGTGCCACTATTTTTGTTATTTTCTCTGTGTGACTGGTATTTACATTTTCACTTTTGCTTTACAGAGCTGGTGGAAAAGATTAGAAAAAATATGAAGAAAAATGACTGTAAAAATGAAGGATCAGAATTCTAATTCTTACCTGTCCCCTTGTTGACATATCCTTCACACTATCAGGCTTAAAAAAGGTGAAGTCAATCAGAGCTTGGAAGAGAGAGACAGCTTTTTCCGAATGGCCTGCCTGCCTAAGGAAATGGCACTGCTGAAGAAAGATGGCTGGGAAGAATGAGAAAGAATAAAATCATAAAAGGGGTCTTTGAGATTTAGGATCCAAACACCTTTTAATCCTTTTTTCCTGCTGCTATTTCTAGTGAGTCTCACAAGACTGCATTGTGTAACATTACGTAATAATCAATGTAACCCTTATTTCCATGTTAATTATCTGCCTTCTATCTGAGACAATAAATCCCATCAATCTTGCAACTAACCAGCACATTCGCTTTTGGAGATACTGGCCAAGATCCTGTTGCAGCTATGCAAAGGCATAGCTTCTGAGGAGAAGTGCTCTAAGTTAGGAAATCTTCACAGTCTTTGGCTGAAATTCAGAAGCAAGTTGCAAATAGGACAGGCCCATTGAAACAGTGGGGATTTGTCAAGTTAACTCCTCTGTAGCCTCTACTGATTTAAGAAGCCTGCTCTTGCTTTGACTTATTACTGGATCTCAGCCACTATCTGTTACACACTGAGTTACACAACTTGGAGGGCAACAGATAATGTTTCTTTATTTGGGTCAATTCACTGTATAAAACTTTCACCTTTTGCATAACTGTGCAATAGGATTTCAGCTGCTGAACTGTAACTTCTTAGCATTCAAAGACATACATGAGGGTGTTCTTAAGAACCAACACAATGGACTAGGCAGATTCAAGAACATTCTTGACCCTCAATCTATGACATTACAAAGTCATAGACTGAGGGTCACCTGGAAGCTGGAAGCTGGATGTGGAAAAAGCAAAGCCATGATAAGTGGATCCAAAGATACGTATACAGTACTTTAACATTAAAAGCCTGTGGGTATTCATCTAATACATTAGAAATGGAGGAAAGGATAAAATTGTTAAAAGGTGGACTGAAGTAAAATGCTACAGAATAACTTATCTTGGAGCAAGAGGCGAGTTCAAATGATGAATTAAAATTTGGCAAGACAGAAAGCAGCCATATAGTGTGAGGGTTCGAATTGGGCCTCCGGCTGGTCAGACACAAACACAGAACGCTCTTTCTTTAAGAACTCAAAACTGGGATTTCTTGGTACATTCAACGTGGGTTCTGCAACTTTAAACTTATTAACAAAGTTATCTCTCGTTGCCAATGGGTCAAACGAGGGTGTCCATAAGTCTTGTAAAAACGGGTTGTAACCAGATTCATACCATGGACCTTTAATGAAAGGGTTAGTGTCCTCATAGTGCGGTGAATCCAAACCAGTGTCACTCAAGGGGAGGGTCTCCTCATCTCTTCCCTCCAAGTCGAAGGGGTTGTCTCTCTCGGACAGTGGGTCCCAAGGTCCGGTGAATACCTCCTCCAGCGAGGCTCCTCCAGACGCCATGCCCTCCTTTCTCGTTCCTCCCTCTCCACTGCTTCTTTCTCTTCCCTTAACCTCCATCACCACTCTTTGGCTTCGGACTCCCCCCAGTAAGAGGGTCTAGGACAGTGGTCCCCAATCTTGGGCCTCCAGATGTTCTTGGACTACAACTCCCACAAGCCTTCACCACCACCTCTGCTGGCCAGGATTTCTGGGAGTTGAAGTCCAAGAACATCTGGAGGCCCAAGGTTGGGGACCACTGGTTTATAGGACGCAAGCCTCTCCTCCTTCAGTAGTCGGCCTCTTCCCGAGACCCGGACCTTTTCACATTTCCCTGTCCAGGGATCTTCGATCCAAATCAACTCCCAACCCTCCGGTATGTCATCTCTCTTCCCTTTTATATCCACACTTCCCGCCTCCACTAACGGTCTGCCCCTTTCTTCTGTTCCCGTCTTCTCAGTCCCGGTTTGGGTAGACACTGATATCTTTGTTATCCCCCATTCTAGGTCCTGGGTATCTACTCCCTGCTGCACTTTCATGACACGGGAGGCTGGAGAATCTGTCTGCACCTCTTGTTCTTAGAGGACGACGACACTCCGGCGAGGGCTTCAATCCTCTCGCCTCTGTTCTCACATATAGTAAATCAGAACACTGGTCCATCTAGTTCATTATCATCTACACCAAGGCAGGAACAGTGTCCCTTCAGATGTTGGTCTGCAGCTTTCACAATCCTTCACATTTTTGACACTGGTCAAACATTTAAAGCACTGGTTCCTAACCTTGGGTCCCCAGTTATTTTGGATGAAAACTCCAAGAAACCTTTGCTGCAAGTTGCCAGGATTTGTGGGAGCTATAGTTCAAGAACATTTGGGGACCCAAGATTGGGAATCACCACTCTAGAGCATTATATAGACATGAACATAAGAAGAGCCATAATGGATGAGACTGTAGACCTCTGAAGTCCAGAATTCTATTCATACAGTAGCCAGCCAGATGCCTACAGAAAGCCTACAAGCAGGATTAGAACTCAACAGCACCTCTTTGCTTGCCACAAACTGATAGACAGGGGCATACTGTCTCTTGCACCGGAAAGAACATACATCAATTATAACTAGTAACCATTGATAGTGTCATCCTTCATGAATCTGCCTAATCTCCTTTGAAAGTTGTCCAAATTGGCAGTTGTTACTACATATTGTGGCAATCAATCCTGTATTTCAACTATGCACTGTGTTAAAATACCAGGGATTGAACCTGAAACCTTTTGCATGCAAAGCATGTACTTTACCACTGAGTTACAGCCACAGGCTGCATTGGAATATACCAAAGGTCCTAGGCTTGAAGAGAGTGACCTTGAGGTCCATCTGGCTTCTATAGTTTTCTGGCTTGACGGGATGAGTGTGACAAGCCATGCAAGAGGTGAACACAAGGGGGCAGAAGCCTTAAGCTATCTTAGGTCACAGACCGCTTCCAGCCCTAATTGTAGAATGCTGTCTGAAGCTTGGTTTACCCAACAGTATCTTCATAACCAAGCTTGAAATATGATATACTAATAAATGACTGACAATTGTATAATTTTCTTAATAAGTAAATGAGACACTGTCAGGGTAAATTTAGTCCACATTAGAGGTATGGATAAAAAAGAATATTCACAAATCTTCAAAACAACAACCAGATTTCCAACATGGGTATTATTTTTATAGCCATGTCAAAACTAATTTGCTCTAGTGCTTGCAAGCCTGGCACTTTTCAGCATCAAAAAAATTGCTTTGTTAGTAACTTTGAATCTTCTTAAAACATTGCTGCATTCCTTGAAAGGAATCTGGTGAAGATAAATTCAAGATAAAGTGTAAATGCTCATGCAGTCAATACATCACTATCCATTTACAATTAGAAGTTTGGGGAGAATAGCAAAAGTTGCAGATGTAAACCCCCCCCCATAAAAATCCTTGAAGGACTTCAGAAGAGGGAGAAAACCACAAACAGCCCACAAAGGCCTGCACATGTTCAGTGGTGAGACAGAACAGAATAACCTGGAGGAGGACCTAACTGACTCAAACCATGAAAATGAACACTCCACTCTGGAAAAATTTCTCATAGGTCAAACTTGCTCCACTGATATTTAAAGTGATGATAACAATAAACACTAAATGCTTATTTCTGTTACCTTTCATGCACCTACTTAGGCAAAGTATGCCTACACTAAGGAGAGGGATATATACGAAGTTGTACATCTAGCAGGCTCAGTTCTATACTCAGCAATTAATGAGTCCTCTTCAGTGTGTACCAGAAAGAGACAAGCTCACACAGAGAAAAAACTGGTAACTTATCCTGTAACTGGGCAGTCCATCATTCCTCCCAATAAAACTCAACTCATTCTACCTACTGGATGATTTCCATTATTTGAGATTACAACCTCTCTTCTGGAATCTGCAAGTTGAGTCATGGCAACTGGACTTCTTTCTTATTAGGGCGAAACATTTTGCTACTCATCCAAGTACAGTGGTGCCTCGCTTAACGATTACCTCATTAAACGATGAAACCGCTTTACGATGAAGTTTTTGCGATCGCTATTGCGATCAAAATGATGTTCTTATGGGGGAAAATCACTTAACAATGATCGGTTCCCTGCTTCGGGAACCGATTTTTTGCTAGACGGTGATTTTGAAACAGCTGATCGGCGGCTCTAAAATGGCCACCCGCTGTGCAAAATGGCTTCCCGCTGTGTTTTAGGACGGATTCCTCGCTTTACAGGCACTGGAAAATGGCCGCCCTATGGAGGATCTTCGCCACACACTGAATTATTTAGCCCATTGGAACACACTGAACCAGTTTTCAATGCATTTCAATGGGTTTTTAAATTTTGCTTGACGAGGATTTCGCTTAACAGCAATTTCAATGGAACAGATTATCCCCCTCAGCAAGGCACCATTGTAGCTTTTTCAGTCTGAGGAGTTGGTAGGAGATCCCTGATATATCTTCTAGCTGGTTTCACTTCCGCATGATCTAAATAGGCTCATTAGATGGACAAATCCCTCTTCTGCAGTCCTTCTCCACCCATTGTCATGGGTAGTGTTAACAGTGGTCTTTCTGGTGGGTGTGCCCCTGGTATTTCTGGGATGTCATGGGTAGTGTTAACAGTGGTCTTTCCGGTGGGTGTGCCCCTGGTATTTCTGGGGACAGATGAAAAGGCAGAATGATAAATAAGAGACAGATTGTATCTAAGGCCTCCACCCCTGTTGAGTAAGGGATTTTCTATATGAACATGTATGCCCCCCGACACCTTCTCTCAAACCACTTATCCTCTCATTCCAAAATGAGTACATCTTGTGAGTGTCCTCACAAGATGTGAGTGTCCTTTGTCCTTCAAATAATGAAACACAAATAGCGAAACGTTTCAACCTAATAAGAAAGAGGTCCAGTTGCCATGACTCAGCTTCCAGATAACTTACCTGGATGACTGAGAACCTTCAGATATATTGCTCTCTTCTGGAAGATAAACATCTGTCATTGTGTCTCGTATGGATATGGAATACATACTTTTTAAAGGTGCATCTTTACAGAATGTTATGCCAAATAAAATGTGTACATTGTTGTTGTGGGTTTTTCGGGCTCTTTGGCCGTGTTCTGAAGGTTGTTCTTCCTAACGTTTTGACAGTCTCTGTGGCCAGCATCATCTCCAGAGCATAGGTTGCTGTCCTCTGAAGATGCCGGCCACAGAGACTGGTGAAACGTTAGGAAGAACAACCTTCAGAACACGGCTAAAGAGCCCGAAAAAACCCACAACAACTATTAGATCCCGGCTGTGAAAGCCTTCACAAATAATATGTGTAAATCTTTAAACTGTCACAAGATTCTTCACTGTTTTTGCTCCAACAGGCTAACACAGTTACGCCTGGGCACTATTAGAAAACATGCCTCAGTGTTAGTGAGAAAGACAATCAGACAATGTTAAATACTATGCTCTTACCTAGCATGGCTTCTTCTGTGCCCGGCAGCACTGGATGCGATACCATACTGCCATCCTGTACTGCCGACAAAGTGCTCAGGCATTTGCCATACAGGTTATGAATTTTTGAAACAGTAAAAGTACTGAACTGGCTCTGACAGAACAAGAGGTACTTCTGCCACAGCTCTGGGTTGTTCGGGTGTAAGAAAACCAGTTTCTGCCATTCCTTGATCACAGCTGATGGTTCCCAAAACTCTGTGCAAAGCTTTAGCCTGGCCAGTTTCAAATCAACGTTGTTTGGGTTGCTTTCAATAGCTCTCTCCAGAATTGCTAGCTTCTTCTCCAAAATGAGCTTGAGTGATTTCTTTCTTGTCTCCCGTTCACCCTCACCGACTGTGTAGCAACTGGGGCGTGTCATGAGTTCATCCTTCAAAAGAAAGAAGGAAAAAGAATAATCAAAAGACAAAAATATTAAGAGTGGAGCGCATTCACATTCTCCTGAAGAACATCCACAGCACTGTTCATTAAGTGTTTTTTAAGTGGATGCTTGGAAATGAACAATGTCTGAAAGGTTCAGGACGAATGAAACAGACAAAGGGCTCTGTATCCTCTTTCCTCCTATTAGAATAGTAAGACTGGGGTTACAGCAATGTTGTTGTTGTTGAGCAGGTCAGTTGTTGGTCTGCTGGTAAATCTGTGCTCATGCATTCACACATTACACCCTTTTTCCTACAAGTGACCAATAAGGGAATGGTTCTGCTGAACTTTATTTGTTCAAAAGTGTCTCCATTCTAGCATCCATATACCATATCCTAGGATGGTTCCTAATATATTTACAAATATATCATAAAAACCTTTCCAAAACGTAACCCACAATGAAAGCACATGTTACCTGAAAAGAAATAAAATCCATCCACATTTTGACATCTCTGGGATTCTCTCTGATTTTCCGGTTATATTCTTCCACTTTCATTATTAGGAGGGAGTTTCCATTTTTTGAGCTCCCTTGGGGTTCCTGCTCCTTTAGTGATTCTTGCTCTGGGGGACCTTTTCCTTGTAGCCATAATGTGGTCAGTGGGTCATAAATCCCCAAAGGGTTTACATGGCTTGTAGTAGGAGCATCATCTGTGTCCAGTTCCAAAATTGGTATCCAAGGAGCTGAACCAGAAGGAGAACCTTCATGTTTATGGTTGATGAAAATGCTATCTACATTCAAGAGCTTCAGCCCTCCTTTGGTAAAGTAGCGTTCTGGACGTTTATGAGATGTCTTTTTCTCTGTGGCTGAGGTATCCCAGATAATATGTTGCTTCTTCAAATCAATGCCAAGACAGAAGTTGCTTCTTCTTTTGTATCTTTGAAAAACAACAATTAACGTTAAGTCCTTCCAAGAAAATAGAGAGAGAAAGAGCTGAAGAAACAACTCTCAGACAAATCCTGATCAGAGACTTAGAAAAGCTACTGTTTTGTACTAAAACTCTCAGTACAACTTCTCCCTGGAGCTAGCTGGGGATCCTGGGTGTACAAATGGAAAAATCAACAGTACCATCATTGACTTAAGAACAAAGTGATAGTACTTAATATATTTCCATGTAGCATTTGTAAAGGCACACTAGACAGGATGTTTACATCTCAACTGCTAGAATCACAGTACAATCCTATCATACAGATTTACAGAGCAAGTCCTCACTCCCTGATGTTCAGTGCTACTGACTTCCAAGCAAGCATACACAACTCCACAGCCTCAGAGGTTTCAAATCCATTACGAGTTTTATTCAGTAGCTCTCAGCTATAGCTTCCTCATTATTTTTACTTGAGGAGCCAAGGTTTGAGAATACAAAAAGCAACATAAGAGGCATCTGAATTTATTTTGCTCTGTTTTAAACAGAATATGATAGAGAGCAATACAAGCAAACATTCATTTCAGAGATCCCTAACCAGAATGTATTTTAAATATTTTAAGTGGGTATTGATGAATTCACTGGAAGGACAGATCCTGAAGCTGAGGCTCCAATACTTTGGTCATCTGATGAGAAGATAAGACTCCCTGGAAAAGATCCTGATGTTGGGAAAATGTGAAGGCAAGAGGAGAAGGGGACGACAGAGGACGAGATGGTTGGACAGTGTCACCAAAGCGACCAACATGAATTTGACCCACCTCTGGAAAGCAGTGGAAAACAGGAGGGCCTGGCGGGCTCTGGTCTATGGGGTCATGAAGAGTCGGAAATGCCTTAACAACTGAACAACAAAAAATTAATGAATAACTCTACCAACCCAATAATCAATTCCAATTCATGGTAACCTCAAGTTCTTCTAAGTATAGAGTACTCAGAAGTGATTCACATTTTCCCTGTCCTTCTGGTGGTGTCTGGGACTTTGAAGCTTGGACAAAGCTGCATAGGTGGCAGGGCATGCAACCCTGTTGGACATACACACTCTGGTGATGGCCCTTCTCCCAAGAGGGAGAGTGGGGATTCAAACTCCTGGCCCCCAGGCACTCCAATCCACTAAGCTATAACAATTCAGATGGGCACTACAGCACCTATAAAATGATCTGCTTTACCAGTAGAGGAGCATAGTCAAGTCACAAGCCAGTGATCTATCAGGGATAGCTAAAGATACTATGCTGTTCAAAGCAGAGCAGAAAATGTTGTCTCCAAAGTCAATGTGTATATATTAATTATGCTCAGCCAACATATTTCGGTACACGACCTACAAGGACCTCTCACTGTCCTGTGAGCAGAAAATAAAACAAAAACAAAGGAAATAACTAGGAATTTGTTGGGCTTTCATGAAAGGTACTTGAAACTGGCTGCCCATAGTGGCCAGCTGCCTAACAGAAAGGCCAGCCCATTTAGTCTCCAGATGTGTCAGAAAAAAGGTGAGTCAAATCTTCTTCCACTCAATCCTTCGTGGTCCTGTCAAAACCTTTGCTTGCTGAAATAAGAATAATTCCAACATTTTTGCACAGCATGGAGCTCGGCTGCCCTCAAGAGTTGAACAGAAATGGGTTGGTGAAGCTGTAGTTTCATAGCTTTCTTAGAAGCCAGGAAATTCCCATGTACAAACACCAATGTGAAAAGAAAAAAAAGAATATTTCCGATTAACAAATAGCATATGAATAGCCATCATAAACTTGAGCTAGGGAGGGAGGTGAAAATAAAAGCTCACTGAACTCAACAAATTTTGCATTGTTAGACTCATTGGGTGCAGTTCAGTCATACGGCTGGCTCTGCAAATGGAGGAATGTCAAGATTTAAAATGGGCCTCAGGTGGTGAATTGCAAATACAGCTCACTGGGTGCAATCATGACATTTGGGAGCAAATGTCCTTCCATGTGCCAGCTGGATTCAAAGCATCCACTGCAGTGCACATTATGGATTATGAGAGATTCTCAGGGGATCACGCAATGTACAAGAAAAGCAACCTATTAAAAACCACTTTTTTTTAAAAATCAAAATGACTTTAAAAATACAAAATAATCAGCAGCTTTATCGCTGATTTTTCTATTTTGCAGCCAGTTACAGCACCAATGTAATGAAATGTTTTCTCCTCTATAAATAGATTAATTGGTACAAATATGTTACAACTAATCAAAGAGCATGTGAATTCAAAGTCATATCCTGAATCTGTACATCCTCATTTTTAGATGACAGAAATATTTATGATTCACAATAGTAAGAATATAAAAAGACAAGGTAGCATTTCAGATAGGTTTTAGGATCTACCAATCAATTTATTATTTCATCCACCAGCCACATGACATTTGGAAAATGACATAGTACGGTTATATTATGTCTCGGACATAAAGCACAATTTGTTTTGTTTGAAGCAGAAGCAATCTAGGATCTTAGCTACAACAAGGAACAGATGGCTGGAACAACATATGGGATACGCGCCTGGGTCTTTCATACAAGGTAACAGTTCTGTTTGAGAGCCATCAGTGGCAGGTAAAAAGGAGAAAGGAACAACGAAGCCACAACTGAAAACAACAAGAATTGGGTATATGCAACTTTACTCAGACAGACACATCATTCCTTACAAAACAACTAGAATAAACTAAAAAATACGCAGGTAAAAAGGAGAAAGGAACAACGAGGCCACAACTGAAAACAAGAAGAATCGGGTATATGCAACTTTACTCAGACAGATACATCATTCCTAAAAAAAAATTCCCAAATTCAACCCTCTGTCACCATAAACCTGTTTATTAAGGCACTTTCACAACAGTAAATATCATTACCTCGCAATGTTTCCTCGATACAATGACTTGTATTGCCAGTTAGCAGGGTCTGGATCCTTATCTGTTCTGAATAACTCTGTTGTCAAACCCTGAACATCATCAAGCCAAACAGAATTATAGTTCACACTTAAGGATTTGTCTTGTAGACTGCAAAGGAAAAAAAAGAGGGTGGAAATAGATTTTTTTCAATCTCTGCGATAAATTCTAGACGACATAGAAATTAATTGTGCAGGGTACAAAAAAAAACCCCACAAGAAACAATTCTAGACGACATAGAAATTAATTGTGCTGGGTACAAAAAAACCCCCACAAGAAACAAGGTTTATACAATTAGTCGGTGCCATCTGTTTTTTTAGGGTTGCTGTTTTTGATGTTTTTCATGTTTCTATTTTTATTTTGGTTTTCTATTATATGTGTTGTAATCCGCCCAGAATAGTGTTGTTAACACTAATGGAAGTGGGATACAAATTGAATGAAAGGATGACTGAGTGAATAAATGAATGAATGTAGAAACCAAAATCTAAAATGGATTTCAAGAATCACAATGCTTAGATCAGCCATAGGCAACATGAGTGTAAACATGAGTCTAGTTCAAAGTACTGTATCACTGACCTTAAAGAAGCTTACTCCCCATTCGTTATTACGTCATTTCCCCATTACTCCCAGGTAAATGGACATAGGACCACAGTATAAATGATTTCAAATTTAAACTAGACCTATGTTTCCTTTCTTAACATGACTTTACATGTTTACCTTTCCATAGTTATTATTTTAATGGTCAGCTGAATTATGAACTATTGCTTTAAGACTTTCTGTGCTATTATTATGCCTTGTTGTTTATACAGAGCCATCAGTATGCATAAAGTTTACAGAGTCACAGTTAGGAAAGAAGGACAGTTGAACCAAAGTATCCTAACAAGCAGAAGAAAAGAAGGAGAAGAAGTGAAATAGTGAAAAGCTTTTCTGTTTTTGAAAAGACAGACTGTCTAGTCTCAGAAGGAAGACTTACACCATAGCAGTCTTTTGTTGGTAATTTATTAGTAAACTGGTCATAAATGGAGGGTTCAAAAGACATGTTAAAGATTCAGGAGACATGTTAATACAATCTTCCCCAAAGGTCCTGCAGTTTATTTCAAAGACAGGAGCAGTTAAAGGTGGCACAAATTTTTCATATAAAATTTAGATCTTAAATGTGCCAGGGACCGCTGAAAAGATACAATAATTTTGGAAGTCATTCCAAGTGATTTTGCAAAGAATGAACTGGAAAAGGAGGTAAATAGCATAGGAGTTTAAAGAATATACAAAGTTGTGCCTCGTGGCGCAGTGGTTAAAACGCTGTACTGCAGCTAAAACTGTGCTCACGACCTGGGGTTCAAAGTTTATTTCAAAGACAGGAGCAGTTAAAGGTGGCACAAATTTTTCATATAAAATTTAGATCTTAAATGTGCCAGGGACCGCTGAAAAGATACAATAATTTTGGAAGTCATTCCAAGTGATTTTGCAAAGAATGAACTGGAAAAGGAGGTAAATAGCATAGGGGTTTAAAGAATATACAAAGTTGTGGCATGTAATTGAAATTATGTCTGAAATCATGTTGCTAGTAATTTGCAACTAGAGTAGGACCAGTGACTCAACAGAACTTACAGAAGAGTTTACTCACCAAATCCACACTAATTCAATGTGTTTATCCTAGTTGTAACTTACTATGCTAAGCAAAAGGATTTCAGCTATAAATTCACAGCTAAATTTCTAAACTAAAAGGATGCAGTGAATTATTGTTATTATACTGTATAATGAGGACATCCTTTCCACTATCCAAACACTCAAGTGATAAATCCCAACAGCCTGATGAAATGCATGTAGAAGGAGGAAAAAGACACCTGTTTATTTTAGGCTTGCAAAATAAACTAGTGGCATGAAATTTCAGTTAGATTTTAGAATCTTGAGTAGGGAAGGCATGATCCTCCAGATACTGTTGGACAACGACTTCCATCATCCTTTATCACTGACATTGCTGAACAGGACTACGGGGAGCTGGCATCCCAAAATACCTTGGGGGCACACATTTCCAAACCTTATTTAGAAAACAGCCACTTCACATCGCTTAACTCTGTTCAGATAAAACTTCTGTCAGCATTTCAGATAGCAACCTGAGTTCCTTTAAGCAAAGTTTCTCAATCTCTATTCACACCTGTGACTGAGGGAAAAACTGACCCAAAGGCTCAAAAGGGCAGAGATCCTGCTGCTTCATATAAGAAATGTTGTAAGATTTAATGTAATTACTATGTTCTGGAGTCCGAACGAGTTGGGCCTCACATAGCAAACAACAGTCATAATAAAGTGCAATGATAAAAGAAAACTTAGAACTTACTCACACAGAACCAATTGCAGCATACCAAAAGCACACTTTCAAGTACAAATCATTTCCTACAGTTTGGACATTGGCTGTTGGATACAGAACTGAAGTACAGCGGTGCCTCGCTTAACGAGCGCACCATATAACGATGAATTCGCATAGCGATCCGGTTTTTGGGATCGCTAATGCGAAGGCATACTGACAGTCGCAATGGGCAAAACTCGCATTGCGAAGACCGGTAAGCGTTTCGGGCTCCTGCCAGGATTGGCCCACCAACAACAATGAAGGACCCCAGCAGCATGCAGAGCCCGATGAATCACTTGACCGGTTCTAGGGGAAGCAACTGGGCCCCGTTTTCGCGCCCTGCCCTTGCTTACCGAGGGCGCAAAAATGGCTGCCGCTATGGAGGAACATTGCTGAACGGTGAGTTTTGTGCCCATTTGGGTTTCACCGTTCCGTTTAGCGATGTTTCCCCATAGTGAAGGTTAATCCGGAACGGATTAACCTCGCTATGCGGGGCACCACTGTATTAAATATGAATAGTATAATAGCCAAAATCCTGTTATTTCCATAGGCTGGTGTATGTTCAACCAAAAGCAAACTGTTACTGGTTAAGAAGTCAACACTGTATTTCTCATTGTATATCAGCTATGTGACATGGTGCACGGAATCAAAACAAGCTTTGACTTTTTAAGTACTGGCTGCACAATGGTGGAGGGTGGAATTTCACTTAACTGGGGCTTATATTACAGGCATCCTGAAAAATCATACTAGGTCTTCTTTTCAGGTTAGGTCTTATTTTTGGGGAAATGGTATGGTTTTTCAGACTATTATCTTGGGGATATGACTATGACCTCTGGCACTACAGTGGTGGGCTGCGCAGAGAGATGGGGAAAGAGCGGGCAATGGGCAAAACTCGCATTGCGAAGACCGGTAAGCGTTTCGGGCTCCTGCCAGGATTGGCCCACCAACAACAATGAAGGACCCCAGCAGCATGCAGAGCCCGATGAATCACTTGACCGGTTCTAGGGGAAGCAACTGGGCCCCTGTGGCACCTGTGGTGCCGTGACGCAGACTGTATTTGTATTCCCAAAACACAAATACGAAGTGCCTGTATTCAAGATCTCCAACCATCATATCAATTTGTGCTGATTTTATTCAAATCTGCTTCATCTTCTGCCCAATCTGACCACAACATTTCCAAACCCACACAAAATACGCAGTACTGCTTTTAAGCTCTGGAACCAGTTATGCGCTCAGGAACAGAAGGACCAGTGCATGCATTTCTGGACTTGTCTAAGGGGGCTGGACCTGGGGGCTGCCATGATTTCCATCTCCGCTCTAAATCTACCACAACACAGCAGAGGACACATTTCCTTTGTCACTTGTGCGCCTTATTCCATTCCTCCCCAGCTCGCTGCTGCTTCTTTCTCCTCCATTTTAGTTTCAGGGGAGACTACGAGCAGGAAGCCCATAAATTATATTTCTGTAGCCTTTTTCTCCCTCCAAGCTCCCTGGACAAAAATGAGATGAATGAATGACAGGAACTGGCAAGTCTTTCAGGTGTCACTCTGCACTCACATGAACCACAATCCTACACATATTTACTAGGAAATATGTCACGAACGTGTTCAAGTAAAGTTACTTTCTGCTGTTTTTGTCTAAGATTGCAGCCTTATTCTCATGTTTGAATAGCCTTGATAACCAGTGTTATTCAGAAAAAGCAAGGAATAAAGAGTTTATCAGGATGAATATAAATCCGGAAACAGAGGGTACTTACGTACTTCAATTCTGGTCCTTTTTCATTATTTCTATCATCTCTCATATCCTCAGCATCTGATTCTGATTCAGTGCTGCTCCTGTCTCTTTTACTTCTCTTTCTGGCTTTCTTGTGATTTCGCTGTTTTTTCTTTTTCTTTCTTTTCCTAGCAGATTTTTGTATTCCTTCACAGGCTTCACATTCTTCTGGGGGCTCCAAGCCAGATGTTGTTCTGTTTACAAATGTAGAGAAAACTAAGAACAAAAAGAACTCTGTTGATAATATTCAAAACTAGATTCTTAAGGCTACAGGAACACAGAAAGATCTGACCGGGAGTGCAAGAAAACAGTTTTCAAACGATTAAAGAAATGTGTGTGTAAATTGAGAGGAGACATTTGAACGAAAATGTTGAGCATTCTGTAGCATTTTAGTAAGTTCCACAGGTCCAAACGCAACAAAAATTTTATACTGAATTCTGACACTAGATAGGAAAAGACATGGGAAAAGTTACTTATTCTGACTATTTATTTCCAGAATATGTATTCATGAAGGCTTTCACGGCCAGGATGCCGACCACAGAGACTGGCGAAACGTTAGGAAGAACAACCTTCAGAACACGGCCAAAGAGCCCGAAAAACCCACAACTATTTCCAGAATCCTCCAGCCAGCATAGTCAGGGCTGTATTGGCAGTGGGATTCTAAGAACGATAATCCAACAAAGTAACTTCCTCTATCTTTGGATAATTTTAGGTCACAATGACTCTAGGGTTTATACGTGATCTTTTCTTGCAAACACTGAGAATATAAAGTCCTTCATCACATAAACTGCGCAAGCCCAAACACTGCTTACAGATTTTTCCGTAATTTCCTGTCATCTACTCTAATCATGGGACTCTGCTTGAAGGATCTCTGATAGCATGTTTTCTGGCAATTCTGAGATTACCTGAAAGCAGGAGAAGACATCTTTGTAAACTAGTCTCAGGTCTGATAAAATTTCATCACTAGATATAAAGCACAATATTATGCATTTCTAGCTAGTAGACCCATTGTGGTTAATAGGGCTTACTCCTAGGTTAGTGTACACAGGACCCCTGCTTATTATAAACAAAATATGTTACTACAATTGTGGTCTGAATCTAACTGTTAGTCCCAGTTAGAGTTGACTCACTGAAAAAATGGAATTGATGTGAACTGCTGATTACGAAGTTCGCATTAATTCAATGTATCTATACCAGGTGGAACTAACAAATGGGTTTAGGCCAGTACAAGCAAACAATGTTGATCTAAAAAACAACCATATACCTTAGATTGACTTTGAATACACAAACATGTGCTGAATAGTGTCAACAAACACCTCACCTTTGGAAAGAAGTTTTCTCAGAATCAAGGTCTGTGACGTCTAAAGCATGTTGGTGTAGTCTCAGTGCATCTTCATTCCGAAAGCTTGGGTTAGTTAACCAGTTCAATTCTGTAGACAGACATAAGGCAGCATTTAAAAAGAAAGCTACCGCCTTCTTCCAGGCTGGAGATTTTTCAGGTTAGCAGACAATATTGCTTTCAAGAATATGATTTGGACAAAATGAAATTAAAGATTACAGATCTTCAACATTTCATGAAACCAAAATTTACCCTTTTAGATACAGTGTATCATTAAGAGGTTAAGTGCTTCCCACACAATAGCAGAACAGTTTACTTTTTAGAATGGTATCAAAATAGGTACTTGTACAATGTTGTACCAACAGCAAAGATGGGGTGCTATGTGCAATGGTTGCTTTACTCCTCTTCTTCCTGCACTATTTAATTCCTGAAATAAGTGACGTGTATAATATAATGTTTTTCCCTACCTTCTTCCATCAGCAACCACAAACATGGAAAATGAAAAAGAGGTAAATGAAGCAATATGTTGCACCATTAATAACTAAATGTTACAGAAAGAAAGGTAACTGTATGTGGCATTGATGTTTTTAGCTGTATATAAACCTGTTTCGTGATACAGTACATCTATTTCCACTCCAATAGCAGATTCTAGCTTCACTTTAGCACTCTTTGAGAAAATTCCTTCATGCCCCCTTAAACCAACTCCAGAAGCCCTCACAGCAGACAGACTTCAGTGGATTCCAGCCACAATTTTTGCAACCTGCAGTATGAAAGAGCATACACCCCAGAAATAAAACACATTTTTGCATGCAAAAAGTCCCAAATGTGATCTCTGCCATCTCCAGGTATTACTAGCAGACACTCTGTGCTGAAATGCAAGAAAGCAACCACCTGACTAACAAGGGCGACGTAATGCCATTTCAATATTTTGGACTGTAACTCCTATACTTTGACCACCAATTAACGTTGCCTACATTTTACGAGTCACACTCCAATATGCAAGTCATATTGATAGGCTCGTTTTAGGAGAAGTGAATAATTTTCATCAGAGGAGCATGGCTAAAATGCAGTGTATCAGGGAAAAATATTTGATGCAATAATCAGTTCATGTTTACCATTCCAGCTTTCAAAAATGAACCCATTCCTTTTGTTTCCATAGTATAAAAAGAAAAAAAATGTTCTGATCTGTCTTGGCATCATGCAGGAAGACCTACAATTGGTAAGATTTAGTATTTGTTCATCTTGTTAAGAAGTCTTCTGAACACTTATGAAAGGATATCTGACTATTACTGGCACAGTGCATTTTCCTTTTGACCTTCACATTAGGAAAAATAGCTGGACCATCTATGAATACAGACTGTGTTTCAGGGTCACCAAAAGAGTCCGTAATTAATTATCTGCCAAAAGCAACTTTCAGATAGGCATATCTAGGGTTCTGTTAGTAAATTTCAAGACAGAATTATCAGGATTTCAGGAAAGGCATTTGCAGTTTGAAAAAAATACATCAATATCATACTACAAGCATTTATTTCAAAACCAGGGGGAAATAATGTTACCTATTGCTTTCTTGGGATGTACCTTATCACATCAACCTATGATGTGCAACATTGCACTTACTTTCTAAACTTTCAAATACTGTATTTTTTGCACCATAAGACTCACTTTTTTCCCACAAAACAGGGGGGTGGAAAGTCTGTGCGTCCTATGGAGCGAAGAAAACAGATTATATTTTCCTGTTTTCTTCTCCTAAAAAATTGGTGCGTCTTATGGAAAGGTGCGTCTTATGGAGCGAAAAATACGGGTATATCAATTTATTTTTAGCTGCAATGTTTCAAATTTCAAAAAAAATTATTGAGGGAAGCACTAGCATGAATTTTTATGTTTATCAAAGGACATGGGTTTTTAAAAAGTTGATAAAAACTGTGCTGGTAAATTAAGCATTATAGAAAAATATTAATACATTTATTCATTCATACGTGAGAAAAACTTTAGTTCTATCTTCTATCTCTTTGAGTTGCTGCTGTAATTGTTACATGGTGTCAAGTTGCTTCTGACAAACCTATGAATCACTGGCTTCCAAAATGCTTAAACAGTAAGAAACCACTCTGTTTTGTCAGTAGGTACTTAACAAAATGTAGTAATTGGCTTTTAGAATAATTGCTAGAATAGGGTGTAATAAGATGAGATAGCAAAAAGACTCCAGTCCTGGAATGCCTTGTCACTGCCTGTGCTGCAGATTAGTAACTCTTGATGAAATTAAACTGGAGATTGGATAGAACTCATGGGTCCTTACTTATAGATAACTGATTCTGTTAACAGTCTTCAACTTATCTGTAGACCAAATTGTGTGACACGACAGAAACAAACCAGACTTCAGAATTAAATACTTCACCTTGAACAGCTACCACACACAAAAAAAGGATCTTCAAGTGACAGAAACTGTCAGCACCATTTTATAAAATGATGACAGCAGCTTGAACATATTTGACATTCTATGGATAATTAGGGAACTGTGAAAACAATTTTTGGAAGTCAACACAATGTACTCTGTCATTTCAAGGAAGTCCCTGCTCATAATGTGAAGAAAGATTTAGTGAATTTGGGAATAAACAGAAGAGAAGGTATATTACATGAAAATTTCAAAAACCAATAGGCCAAAGTTACAGGAAGTCAGAGTAGCTACATATGCATATTAGACTACAGTGGTGCCTCGCTTAACGACGATAATCCATTCCAGGAAAATCGCAGTTAAGCGAAAACATCGTAAAGCGAAATTAAAAAACCCAATGAAACACATTGAGAACTGTTCAATGCGTTCCAATGGGCTAAAAACTCACTGTCCAGCGAAGATCCTCCATACGGTGGCCATTTTTGGCACCTGTATAGCAAGGAATCTGTCCCTAAGCACAGTGGGAAGCCATTTTAAGCACCCGGTGGCCATTCTGAAAACCCGACGATCAGCTGTTTTTGATCATCGTAAAGCAAAAATCGGTTCCCGAAGCAGGGAACCGATCATCGCTAAGCGAAATTTCCCCATTTAGACCATCGTTTTGCGATCACAATTGTGATCGCAAAAACGTCGTCGTGAAGCGGATTCGTCATAATGCGGGGTAATCGTTAAGCGGGGCATGACTGTAATCAGAGGCCAGTCAACTTTGACAAAGGCCCCACTGGCCACTCAAGAATCCACTCAACGTTTGCATCTTACCCTACAGATTCCAGCACCGACAACACCATCTGTGTGAGTTTTTAAAACAAAGGGAGCATGCACCTTATGTTTAAGTAAGATCATGCTTCTGGAAAATTTCTGTGGCACAAATCAGCTGCAAAAGAAGGTGCTATTAAACATACTCTTGTTTAAAGAGAAATAGGGAGTTGGATACTTTGTAGATGGCACAGCAGCAAATTCAAAAGCAGCCACTACAAGAAGACGTCAATGGTATGGATGCAAATCACATTATCTACCCCTGCACTAAGTCATGGTTTATGCTAGCCACAAGTTGCTACTTTAACTATGAACTGCCTGACAAAGGAGTAAAGAAAAACCACTGTCCAGTATACCTGTTCTGGACTGTTTCTCTCCTTCTCCTTTGCTTCATGAATTGGCTGTTTTCTATATTCTCTGCTGCAAAAATAGCAGAGGACTCCCTATGCAAGCTGCCTTTTGGTGCTGAAGAATCGGAGATCAAAGTGGAGATACAAACTATCATTCTTCCGTAAGACTTTTAAGTGCCAACATGTTGGAACCAACCTGCAGCAATCTTACTACCTGTTTCCCTGAAAGTAAGACCTAAACTGAAAATAAGACCTAGTATGATTTTTCAGGATGCTGGCAATATAAGCCCTATCCCAAAAATATGCCCCAGTTAAGTGAAACCCCACCCACCACCATTGCGCAGCAACCAAAAGAATATGACATGACTGTATTTGAATAAATGTAGATTGTTGGACATGAAAAAAATTAAAACTTCCCCTGAAAATAAGCCCTAATGTGTTTTTTGGAGCAAACATTAATATAAGACCCTGTCTTATGTTCAGGGAAACACGGTAGGAGTTTCAAAGTGAGATACTTAACGAGCAATTTTACCAATTCCACACCCCAATGAGCTTCCATGGTTGATTGGGGATTTGAACCCAGGCTAGAGATTGGGAGCTTGATGCTCCATGGTGCCTCTTTGATCTTAATGATCTATAAGATCTCTTCCAGCTCTGCAGTTCTATAATGATGATTAATAATAATAATCTACTACACCACACTGGCCATCATTTTTCATATACTCCAATTTTATTCAAAGAAAGAATCTGAAACTCCAAAGCCAAAGAAAAAGTGTATGGTTTTTTAAGGACCGCATACTACACTAACTTCTGTGGTATTACAGCTGGTCCTCATGAATTTCTATTAGCCAGCTATGAATTTCGTGTTTGCTTCTTCCCCCACACCTACCTCCCTAAGTTTATTATTTAGAACTAGCTCCATTCTGTCTGTACAGAAAATGGGGCAAACCAAAGGTGATACTTCCACTTTTTTTGAAAATTTTGAAAAACTGTGTACAGTATGTAGTGAAGCCTGCCCTCACCTACTGCCCCTTGTAAGAAATTGCACACCCCAACCAGTGTGGTGTAGTTCACTGGTTCTTAACCTTGGGTTACTCAGGAGTTTTGGACTGCAACTCCCAGAAGCCTTCACCACCAACTGTGCTGGCTGGGGTTTCTGGGAGTTGCAGTTCAAAAACATCCGAGTAACAAAGGTTAAGAACCACCGGTGCAGCTGATAGAATGATGGCCTGAAACTCTGGAGACCAGGGTTCGATTCCCCACTTCGTCAAGGAAACTCCCTGGGAAAATATATCTGGTAAAACCACTCCTTAAATACCTCCCTTATCTTGAAAACAATATTAGGGGCGCCCACTTCGTCAAGGAAACTCCCTGGGAAAATATATCTGGTAAAACCACTCCTTATCTTGAAAACAATATTAGGGTCGCTATAGTGCGGTTTCGACTTGACAGCACAGAACACACCCACCTACACCCACGCGTGTGGACCGCTGCAAAATTAAAAACTTGGAAGACGTGCATCTGCCCGCATAATTGTCAACTGGGTATTGTAATGGGGCGGGTTTGCATATACCAACGTCCACGCCAGGGCAAAATCTCCACAGGAGAGAAGCGGGGCGCCTCTCTTGGGAAGCCGCTCTACTACTAAGCTCCCTGATGCAAACGCTTCGGCAAGGAGGAACGGCAAAGGTAGGGGCTAGTTCACCAGGAAGTGCTTTACCTCTTTTGGAACCCCCACTCTGCGCCGCGGGCGCCTCCCCGGCTTGAGCAGCGCCTGCAAAGGCAGGGAAGAGCGCCATCGCTCCCAGCTCTCGGAACACAGGCGCCGCCACTTCCTTGATCCGCCACTTCCAAAGAAACCTAGTTGACTCGCAGACAAGATGGCGCTGCCGACGCTCCTGGGCACGCTGGGAAATGTAGTTCTCCGTTGCTTCGTGCGAAAATGGCGTCGGTAAAGAGGCTTTGTCGAAGCGTTGTACGTGCCGTGCTGTGTAACCCAGACCACTGCCATTCGCTATAAGGCAATGCATTCTACGGCAACGGGAGGAGAATATATTTGCCTGTATGTTTTTTAAAATGCCTTTCAACTTGCTGAACCCGTTTTTTTCTCAACACCAGCAATACACTTTTTGAAAAAGTCCTTAGATCATGAGAGGCCGCCAAAATAGCTGTGCCAACTCTTCAATTTGGATTGCAATTTAAAGGCTTCTTGATATTAGGTATATGGCGTATCCCATAAAATTTAGAAGCCTGTGCCAAATACTTCTAAAATGGCCAAATTGAAAGGTCTATGGAGGAGTGCAAGAAAACATAAGACAACCAATTATTGAAATGAAGCTTTAATTGTAGACTCCTGTACAGTATTTGATAATATATACTTTGGTGGGGAAGAATATTAAGTTGGATATTATCTAATAAATACAAAGGGAAAATGGGGATTTGTTTTGTGTTGCAAAATGAGCATGGAAAGTGGAACTGCTTCAAGAGTAAGATTTTACAGTCTTTTTGCACAGACCCACAGCACCTCCAGAAGGGAACTAAACAATTTCCGAACATATACCTAGAAAAACTTAGAAAGGTTCACTGTGTTGTAGAGTTTTTAATTTTTAGGTAATTTCTTCTAGCTGTGCAACAGAAATGTAAGGATTCAAAGAGCAGAATAACTTCAAGTTCCGCAGAGTAATTCTCCACTTTCTCATTGCCTGGCTCTTACAGTCTCAATTAGTCATTCTGAGACATTAGTAGCAGAAAGTATAAAAACAATCATCTTTACTCACAGTTGTGAATGGATCAAACAGCAGATTTAACAAACATAACTCCTGTCAGCAACAGACTCCGGAGGGGTGTGTATGAAAGGAACCACAGAGCAGAGTTGGATAGTTGACAGTCACCCCTAAGCCAGAAAGGTACCTCCTAGCCACATATCCAGGCAAGCTGTGAGGTTGTAAAACCATCAACACACTGTCAAGTCTGAATGGACCTTAGAACACATAGTTGTTATTATTTCAAAGCTAGCCCAGATTCTGAAACTGTAGGTGAATGTCTCTGTTGGCCAAATTTCAAATTAAAAATTATTTCATAACATCATCATTATCTTAGAAATGCAGACGCAGAAAGAACCTTTTTCTGTCAGCAACAGACTCCGGAGGGGTGTGTATGAAAGGAACCACAGAGCAGAGTTGGATAGTTGACAGTCACCCCTAAGCCAGAAAGGTACCTCCTAGCCACATATCCAGGCAAGCTGTGAGGTTGTAAAACCATCAACACACCGTCAAGTCTGAATGGACCTTAGAACACATAGTTGTTATTATTTCAAAGCTAGCCCAGATTCTGAAACTGTAGGTGAATGTCTCTGTTGGCCAAATTTCAAATTAAAAATTATTTCATAACTTGTGAACTCGTGCTCCCATCATCATTATCTTAGAAATGCAGATGCAGAAAGAACCTTTTGGATCATGGATCATGAAGTCCAACCCTTGTCAAGGAGGTACGGTGGGGAATCAGACTCCCAACCATACCTAAACCACTCTGCTATCCAACAGTACTGGTTGCAATATTCTGTGTCTTTTGGTGGTAATATTCCAAAGAATAAGAAGATTCCTGTGACTTGGGGGACATGGAAGGATTCTCCTCAAAGAATCTAAACACATGCTAGTGTCTTTTTCCTTTCACTCCAAAAGCACCAACATGAAGCTCTACCAAAACCGCTGGGTGGGTTTGACTAAATTAGTTTGACAGTAGCCTGCAAGCAGCCATCAATAACAAAGGACTTGTCAGGACCAAACTTAACCCTAATCTCTATTAACACAAAGGGTTTATTATCACCTAAAGAAGAGCTACTGCATCAGTTTTGCCAGACACATGATTGCGATACATGTTGTATTCAAGCAATGTGTAGAGACAGCCACCAGCAGCACCTCACAATATCTGGCATGAGACATGCAGCTGAAAAGTCCTCACAGAAAACATGAAAGTGCTATACTGGTCAAACGTGACTTCCAGATACCTTCTACTGCTGTCACAAAACAGGATGATACAGAGATGACAACAATGGCACTAAGTGAAATCCTCTGTTTATAAACCACCTAATGCAACCCTTTCCTTTAAAATTCTGAACAACTTTCATTAGCAAAAAATAAATTTTATAATTAGAGCTGCAACCCTTTCCTTTAAAATTCTGAACAAGTTTCATTAGCAAAAAATAAAATTTATAATTAGAGCCTTCAGTTGCCACATGCTTATCTGGGGATATGCACTTGATTATAACATTCGGAAAAAGTACTAAAATAGACAGGAACATCCCTGCTAGACCTTACTTAGGATAGTAAACTTCCCCATCTTTCAATAGCATAAAATGAACCCACAGAAATTGGATTTTTTGCATCCACATGGTCCTTTGTAGAGAAGACAAGGCAACTTGATACTGATGTTAGTGTTCCCTGCAACATATTATATGGAAGACTTGAAGTTAGCTGTCTCAAATGTTCTCGGTGCTGCCTGTTATTGGGCTAAATATATATTGTTGTTTAGTTGTTAAGTCGTGTCCGACTCTTCGTGACCCCATGGACCAGAACACGCCAGGCCCTCCTGTCTTCCACTGCCTCCCAGAGTTGGGTCAAATTCATGTTGGTATAATAAGTATATTATATGATATACTTATTCATTATACTGTGGTGTTTCTGACATGAACAAAGAAAGAAGTTCGTTCCGACTTATGGTGACTCTTTTCAGGGTTTTCTAGGTACAGAGTGGGATGTGGTGGCACTGTGAGTTAAACGGCAGAAACCTCTGTGCTGCAAGGTTGGAACACCAGCCGTCGTAAGATCGAATCCACACGACAGAGTGAGCTCCCATCGCTTGTCTCAGCTCCTGCCAACCTAGCAGTTCGAAAGCATGTAAAAATGTGAGTTTAATGTCTTGAAGATATGTAAGACATAAAAATACTATAGACATACAGAGAAACATTATGTAAGTAATGTCAGATATGCATAAATTTAAACATCTCCAATGGGTTTTAGTTAAGATTTCCGGCTAAAGTTGGTTGAATCTGTCAGTTTTATTTTTTTTCTCTGTTTGTTTTTTTTAAAAAAGCTGAGCTTTTCTCCCATCTTGTTTATGGAGGAGTTCATGAATTGCTGTTGAATTTTTATTGAAGAAGAAGGCAAAGAAAAATTAATGAAATTTTCAACCAATCACACAGCCCAAATTTATTAGATAAAACTGTTCTCAGCATAGAGTAGACAACATACAAATAGATGTTAAAGATAAGGAGAAAAGAGGAAATCATTTCAACTCAGTACTAGAGAGAATGGTTAGATACACAGGAATTCAAACCTAGACTTTTCCAAGCCCTGTATCTGGAAGTGATGAGTGAATCTGCCAGTTTCAAACTGTTGTGCATTTCATTTTGAAGGACACACTTGCCATGGTAAACAGAACTCTTCCATGATTTTAATCTCAAGAAATTGTGGATCTTGTTTCTTTGATAATCTAGTAAAGTGACCAACTCCAAATTCAGCATGATTTCCATCACAACCCCTTGGGATTTCAAGCACGTTCCTAGCAAGTCCTGTAATACCCAATAACAGCAACTGAACTTTGTACAGTTCTTAATCAAGGTGCCAAAGATCTGACAAGAAAATCGACGCAATCTCTTAGGTTTATTGACTGAAATATCCAGAAAGATTTTTGACCAGAGCTAGAAGTACAGACTGATCAGTCTGATATATATACAGTAATTTAAACTCATTTTCCTATGACAGCATGGAAATCTTAGGCTTTATATTTGCAGTATGACAAAACTATAGATTGTGGTTTCTCTTGAAACTTATTTTCCCTACTAATAAGTCTCTCTGTGTTTTCGTGCCCCTTGAGGAAAGGTAACATTTGGATCAATCAAATCATATTGATCTCAGGTAGAAGTGGTTCATTTTTATAATGTTTATCTTTTATAAAACCAGGCACCATAAGTGGGAGACACCAATCTAATTGGGTTAGACAAATATTGAAATGCTCTTTTGCTCTGTGGTAAATTATTCTGCTCTTTGATATGCATTTCATTGCAGGTGTGTGTTTGTGTTCAAAGCTATAAAAATTTAACCTTCTTAAGTGCCACTTCCTCTGTAGCATCACAAGGCCACAGCCATCAATACTGGCATCCTTTCCCATTCATTTTTTTTTCACTGTGAGAATATCTCTGTCCTTCAGCATGTAATGCAAGAGGGAGATTAACGTTTCCTTCTCCTTTGGCCCTACCAAATTCTGATAATGCAGCTATAAACAGGAAGATGAATTTGGACAGAGAAGAAGCCAATCTCAGTAAATTATACTGCTGAAGTATCTTTTATTGCTATTGAAATTATAAACATGATTTATTATTACACCCGACAGTTGGTGGAATTAGATGTTGTATCTCAGCAGAAAGCTCTCTCTGCAGTCAGTTCCTAAGCAATCGATATGACAGAGGTTTGGGGCAAGTCAATACATATGCAGTAAAAGAGGCTCTGCAGTGCACTGAACTGGAATATGCTGTAGTTATAAACTATTGAATTATCGAGTTAATATACTGTACTGAAGGGTTATTGTGACCTTAATATATTTAGAAATCATCACAAGCTACATTACATCAAAATACTATAGATTCATTTATAAACCACAGCACATATATTTTAAAAATCATAAATGTTATGAAAGACATATTCAGTTAACTTTTTATGCTGCAGAGTTTATACAGACATATAAGATGTGTTTCCCCCTAGCCCTCAGTCTATAGTTTACTGGGTAGATGCAGACAAGCGTATTTCTTCTCCATCATATTGTGTACAAAGACAGGATAAAAGTACTAAACTACACTTAATAAACGAAAAACAGCAATCCTTTCCCTTCTCTTATAAAA